TATTCAAGATTACAAAACTATCCATTTTTGGTAGTTTTTGTCATGCTCCAATTTCTCCTAAAATCATTGAAATTACTTATAGAGTGCTCCTCTCAAATATTAGATTAAATGTAACATTGATGGTACTTCTAAAGGATCTCTGGCCTCTTCATTCGTGTTGGTATATTTAGAGACTTTAGAGGCTTTTTTGTGAAATTTTTTTCTAATTATCTAAGTATCTCTAACTCTCTTTATGTTGAATTGATTTATATTATTATATCCTTTGAGATTTTTCATAGCAAGGGTTGACTTAACCTTTGATTATAATGTGACTCTATGCTTGCTCATCAAGCTTAGACTAATCCTAAGATTGTCTCTTAGTAGCTTCAAGTTAAATGGTCTAGTTGCTTTACATTTTTTAGGAACTTTCATTTTAAGGGTTGTCATATCCAATGTAGATAGATGGTTGACTTTGATGCCAATGAGATGCCACTCTGTGCTTTCTTACGCCGCAGTTCTTGTTGTCGCACTTTACATAATAATTCTATAATTTTTAACCTTGTTGTATATCTAACATTTCTTAAACTTCATTCTCCTTCATCTCCCTTGTTAACCATGAAATCATTACTCAAAACCAAACCTTTTACCAAATTAATTCCACTCTCATCTTCATTCTGTGCAATTACTCTCTTCATGTTTATTTCCATACTATTCTTTACAACATCAAAAATAGTAAGACTAAACATATCTAGTTCTTCAACACAAGCTGCCGAATCTGATCCAACCGATGTTAATCATCTTGTCTTTGGAATTGCTTCAACTAGAAATTCATGGCCTAAAAGGAAAGAATATGTCAAACTTTGGTGGAACAAAAAAATTAAGGGTTGTGTTTTTGTGGATAATCTTCCTGCTCAAGAAAATGACACTGATGATTATGTTCCTCCTCTTTGTGTCTCTGAAGACACTTCAAAGTTTCATTACACTTATAAACGTGGTTTAAGATCAGCAATTCGTGTGGCGCGTGTTGTGAAAGAGATTGTTGAATTAAAGAATCATTCAAACGTTAGGTGGTATGTGTTTGGTGATGATGACACTATTTTCTTACCTGAGAATCTTGCTAAGACTCTTTCTAAATATGATCATAGGCTTTGGTACTATGTTGGTGCTTACTCCGAGAATTATGAAGGGTCTTATGCTTTTGGTTTTGGAATGGCTTTTGGTGGAGGCGGTTTCGCAATAAGTGCTTCTTTAGCAAATGTTTTATCTAGAGTTTTTGATTCTTGTATTGAAAGATACTCTCATCTTTATGGAAGTGATGCTAGGGTGTTCTCTTGCATAGCTGAACTCGGTGTTGGATTAACCTATGAACCTGGTTTTCATCAGGTAATAATAATCACTTTTTATTTATTGAATATTTGTTTGATAATAATCACTTGTATTAATGTGATTATATGAAATTTGATTATAGGTTGATTTAAGCGGAAATATTTTTGGACTATTGGCTGCACATCCATTAAGTCTCATGTTATCCTTACATCATCTTGATCTCGTCGAACCAATCTTTCCTCAAATGACAGTTTCAAAATCAGTGCAACATTTATTTGAAGCTGCAAATATTGATTCACACAGGATCCTACAACAAACAGTTTGTTACGATAAACATTTTTCGCGGACGATTTCACTATCATGGGGCTATGCTGTTGAAATATTCCAAAACAATGAACTTTTACCAGATATTCTTAGAGTTCAAGAAACATTCAAACCATGGAAGAAAAAATTGCCTTTTGCTGGAATATATACATTTAGTACAACAAAAACTCATCCGGATCCTTGTGAAAGACCTGCAATTTTCTATCTAAACAATGTATCTTCTGATAAAGATGGTATCATTAGCAACTATACGAAATCTTTTCGAGATTGTTCCAATGATAAGATATCATTGAAGAATTTGGAGGTGGTTAAAGTCGTCACAAATAAGTTAGAACTGGACACCAAACAGGTATGGATCTTAATTATATGCAGTAACATAATGTTCTTAATTTGGTAATTATTAATGCTAATTTAAAAAATTATACTTTTGTATTCAGTTGGAGAGTCCTAGAAGGCAGTGTTGTGATGTGTTGCAGTCTAATTCTGATCAAGTAATGGAAATTGCAATAAGAAAATGCAAATATGAAGAATTGATTTATATGCATTGATAGAATAAATCTATGTACTAAACTTGTTTCAATGCTGTTAAGCATATTATTGTAGAGCTTTGCTAGAATTCATTCAAATTTCCAAGTTTTACATTTGGTAGAAGTCAATAGAAGTAGTTATTGAAGTTGTGTGATAATGATATTTTTTTCAGTTGTGTTCAACCTAACATTGAAAACAAATATAAGATTGTGGAATGCTTTTTAGTTTCTAAGTAAAGTAGTACACGTACTACACATCAAAGGTTCAATAAATCAGTTATAAATGCATTGGCGGAGATACTAAATATCTTGAATATAAATATGCTGTTTGACTTTGATTAAATAGTTAAAATATTTCTTAAATTAATTAATTTTTTATATAAATTTTCAAGATCAAGATTTTTAATAAGTATATTTTAGATAACTACAACTTCATTGATAAATGATGTTATGAGATGCTTATATAACTCATGTTGTACATTACTCAAAGATGACTTTGAACACATCATGAACATGAGCTATGTCAGTGGCGGAGCCAGGAAAATTATGAAGCCTGGGCAAGTTTTCATTGGCTTCATAATTTTCTACCAAGACAGTACAATGCTAATCCCAAAGGAATTATTTTCTTGAATTGCAATTACCTCTTCAATTTGTAAGATTTCGGATTTTATAATATATACATGTTAAAATTTCGGATTCTATAATATATACATGTTACAGTATTTCAGGTGTGCTCACAAAATGAACAAACCTATAAAAGCCGAAAAGATTAGTTCAACACGCTCATTTGTGTGAAATTAAGTACTGCCTAAAAACACCGCTATCAATTCAAATTTCAAATAATGTTGTCAAATGCAGATCGGCGAAGTGGTGGTTTGTTAAAATTCCGGTATGCTACAATATTGTAGAGCCACTATTTGAGAACACATTATACTAAGTAGCATAACAAAAAACAATAGGGATGTGATCAAATTCCGCTACACTATAGTACAATAGCTATAACTGCTATTTAACAACAATGATTCCAAGATATGCCAATCTAAGTTATCAACAAATAAAAAATTATGATAACAAGTCATACCTTTCAATAGTTCCTCTGGAAAACCATGTGGCATCGCTTTCGTGCTCAGGCACAAGAACAATTGAATAACCAACCTTCGTCATTTGATCTTGAGCAACCTTCAAGTGGCAGTGAAAGGGGTTGAACAAACCTGAAGCTATTTTCTCCTTCTTTCCATTCACAGTAATGACCAAATCAAACCTAATTTACACAAGAGCACAAAATCACTTGATCAATTAACTCACAGAGATTAATCAGTGACATAAAAATCATATCATATGTATAAATAAAATATAGTTCCTTCAGTAAGTTTTCTCATTTCTTAAACTCAATTTCTATAACTGCAAGGAGCAACTACATACATTCTCCCAATAAAACTATACTCTTTTTTTTATCAATCTTAAAAAAAATTTCCTCAAATGATATTTTTACAGCTCAGATAAAAATTCTAAAATCACTGAACTAGAACATTTCTTAAACGAAAGTACCTCCTCTTGAGCTTCCTTGGAACATAGGTAAAAATTAATCCTCTCCAATACCTGACCATTTTCTAAAAAATGTCACTTCGCAAATGCACTTGCGAAGTCCACCAGCAAAAATTCGCAAGTGCACTTGCAAAATAAAGTCTGTTACAGAAATAGAACTTTGTTTTAACAGAATTTTTCATGTTTTTTGAACATTTTAGGTATGGTGCACCCCGATGTCATACCCCAAATTTACCTGCCTTGGTGCTACGGTCAAAATTATTTTCAAACTTGGAGTTTTATAAAATTCTCTTGGTTTACACTGATATTTTGGGGTTTTCTAAATATTCGTTTTCAAGTTAATTTAAAAATATAATAATTTATTTCAAATTATTTGTATTTTTAAATATCAAATAATTGTTCGTCTTCATATACTTTCAATTGACTTTTTATTTCAAATAAATAAACATAGCACAATTGATAAGGAAACATAGTTTGGAAGCATATGGTCAATAGTTCAAATCTCACTTGATGCACTTTGGGATATTTTTTTGTTTTTGTTTATTTGATACTAACTATTTCTATTTTATAATTATTTTTAAAATCACAAAAATCATGTTTATAAATAATTTAAAAATAATTATTAATTCTGATGGATCAACTCGCTGATTAAGAAATATCTGATTTATTTTATTCTCTTTTCGCCATTTAACCTAATTTTGACCGTTTATAAATAGGACAATATTTTCATAGTTTTAGACATCCATAATTTCACAATCATTCACAAAACTTTATTCTAGAATTGTTGATTTTATTAGACAACTGCCTAAGAAAAATACACAATCATTGACTTTCACATTTCAATTGTTGAAACCTTTTTACACACTTTTTCAAAACTGTTTTTTGGCCGAGGATTTTTATACGAGGCCCTCAATTTTATTTTAGCTTTTTTGTTTTTTATTTTAATCTATTAAATTAATGATGATTCTGTGAGGTTGCGTTTTCAATTATATTATAGTAACAGTTTCACAATCTTCATTTCTTGCTTTTCAAAGTACTACCGTATTCAATTGAACAATTGCCACATCATTGGTCCAATTCTCACAGCTACATCACATAAGGGAAGGAAGAACAAGAAAACGAGAGCATTGTAACCGATTCAGCTCCGGAACTCCCTTCACACCTCGATTCCACCGCCCCAGCCACTGCTCTTCAACAACCGAGTAACACCTGCGACCACCACGTTTTCAGCAGCAAGTGGCCTCCTCCAGATCACCAGGATCGACGATGACGACCTTGTAGCATCACAGCAACGATTCGATGAAACTCAAATCGCGAATCCGCAACCCAGCCAACAACAACACCGTACCTCACCGGGGCGGCCGAGCCTGGGCAGCTGCCCTAGCTGGCCGGACGCTGACTCCGCCAGTGAGCTATGTGGATGAAGTATGTCATTCTATTGAAGAAATTTTCCTCTCAAAAATATTCTTAAAAGGATAGTAACTAGTAAAAAGAATAATGCTTGTTTAAAGAACATGCCACCATAAGCAGGATTATAAATAATTGAAGCATCTTCAATTAATTAAACAGATTATGAGGGATGCTAAATATATTAGAGAGGTTGATGGAAGAAAAGTAACTTCGGTAAGAACTGCACTTCTTATATGCTTTAGGAATTTAGCATACAATGGTCAATTATCTCCCGAAATGCTCTTTCCACTTTAGTGGTGTGCCTCACACCTTTGAATGCTTGAAAATGTTCTTATTGTTTTTGGAGATACATCGTTGAACGCACCTAAAATCACTAAAATCTTTTTCTTTATGATATCCACTTCATTTTGAACAAAATATAGTCCGGAGATATGTCTCCGAACTTTTTTTGGTGTAATAAAAAATGTATCTCCAAAATACTCTATGTATCCAATTGTTTTGTTTTTGTTCACTAAATTTGATTTTTTTAGGCAAGCATATTTTAACTCATTTTAGATAATTTTAGGCCAGCATATTTTAGGTAATTTTAGGCCATGAATTACAAGAAAAATGTATATATTAATTGATTCAAACATAATACACAATTATGAAAAATTCATACAATTATCAAAATGTACCAACCATATATAAGTTGTTCTGAAAATACAAATAATCCAACTAAACGAAAACCTACTAGGTAAGTCTAACCCTTTGCCTTCTCCTTCGTCTGTACTACAAGACATTTTGTGCCTCAAAATTTATGCCTTCTATGAGGGCCAACTAGGGACTTCCATCCTCAAAAAGTCTTGCATATATTCTTGATCTCTCCATTTCCATATTACACCAATAGACCACTGACATGTCCTCGATGTGGTCATCCCTAACCTCAAGTACCTCCTGATTAGCTGGCCTGGGTGGTATTTCAGGAGCGTTTGGTGTCATGATAGAGTGTGAAGCATTATAGAACCATGTCATATAGTCGTTAACATAAGCCAACCATAAATGAGCTAGCAGCTTGGATACTCCTCTGACACCATGTGTTGTAACCGACAAAAAATACGAGAGTCGCCACCAATACTTTTTGTCCTAAGGTCGGGAAAGGAACGAATAAACCCTAAATTTTCTAGATTCACGAGTTAGTTAGATAAAGGGAAGGTGTTAGATACCATTTATATCCATTGTTCTCAAGGGGATCCCTATTTAGGGTTTAGGTTTAACCTTTTAGTTATGAGACTCACCTTGGTTTTAACCGCGTGCCTATGTATCCTCTTGCAAAGAAATTAGAGTCTATTTCGTAGTTTGTTATGTGTTTGGTTAGTTTTTTATAGGATTTCATAGAATTTTTTTCAAATTATCCTTGAGTCTTGTCTGTGTTTGAAAAGAGTGATCGTAGACGTAGTTTGTAGTTAAATTTGATAGCAGTTCTATTTAATCCTTTTTTTTTAAATATCTTGTATTTTGTTAAGTTAATAAAAAAAATTGAAATTGATTAGCTATTTTAATGCATGATTGATTAAAAAAAAGGATGTTTGAAGTTAGTAAAAATTGTATAAATAAATTAATATAAAAACACGGTTAGTAATTTAGAAAAATAATTAATAATATGAAATAATTATTATTATTAATGTTATATACAAAAGAGTTTATTATTTTTCTAAAAATATTTAATATAATTATAAAACTAAATCAAATATAGATATTTAATTAGAAAAATGAAGTTCTTTATTTTAATAAAAAAAGGAGTATAAATTAATTTAGAAATAAATAAATAAATAAACCAAAAACAATTTATAACAAATAAAAAAGGGGAGTATCTTAATCAGTTGGGGTGTGTAATTAGCGAAAAGTCAGACCCATATATTTGTTGGAGCCCAAAAGCGCAAGGGGGGTAGAGTTTCAGTTTGAGATATTAATTTGGGGGTTTGATCAAATAGTCACCAGAGGTTAACCCTGGGATAATGATTAAAAGCAAAGCAAATGAACGGTCATGATGGAGGGTTGACTATGGAGTATGGTAGGAGTGCATGTGCGGAGCAGACAAAGAGAGCATTTAAGAAAAACTTATTCAAAATCTTTCATTTTTCCATTTTTGTCTCTCTTTAATCACCTCTCTCTCTCTCTCTCTCCCTAACACAAACGAAGGCTCTGTATTCTCTCTAAAAACATGGCCCGTCGGCAGCGCTAACCCAAACCACCACCTTATCAAGTTTTCTGGTTGATGGTCAACCGGAAACTTCAACCAAAAATCCAGATCTTCATCAAAATCCTAAGAACCCTGGGATATCAAGAACCCTAACCCTTAACCCACGAACCTTAGGTTGAAACCACCATGGGTGGGCATTGAGGCCACCATACGAGATGAGAGTTTGCCGGGAACTCCATCATGAAACCCAGAAACACATAAACCCTAACAATATATAACCTAACTTTTGTGTAAATAAGTTTAGTTTATGTATAATGTGTTTTTGTGTACATAGTGTATCGTTTAATAGATTTTATTCATTTTGTAGGTATTTGAGCATTGTTGGAGCAAGAGGAATAAAAGCTCCAAGATGCATTGTTGGATCAATAAAGGAATAAGGCAAAAGAGAGAGCCAAGTGAAGTTATGCAGAGAATGCAACAAAATTTGCTGGACTGGTGTGCATCTTTGGGCGATGGCCATGCAAGGGAAATCACGTCTGTGTCGTCGGGTGATGGTGGAGCAAAAAGGTACATTTTTCCATTTGGGTCTTCCTTGCTTCGCTGGTGTGTCTTCGGGCGAGGAATAAAGGTGTCGGGCGACGTGAGTAAGTCGTTGGGCGAAAGAAGATATTTTTGACCTGCTGCGTACGTGGCGCAACCTGAGCCAAGTGTTTAAGAGTCTTGGTTGGGCGACGTGTTTGTGTTGTCGGGCGACGGTCGCGAAACATATTTTGTTTATATTTCCTTTGCATTTCATTTTTTTTTGGATTAGCTTAGATAACAACTATGGAACTTGCATACGAATGATTCAGGTGGATTTCTCTTTGACTGGCTTTGGTAATCTAGAAGATTTGCGATTCATCTCTCTTCTTCTTTGTGTATTCTATTTTGGTTGGGTTTGTATATGTATTTACTTTGATCTTATGCATATTTATCGCCCATGGTGTTATATTTAACTTGCTTTTTAAATCTTTGTGGATTGTTATCCTTGGTTTTTGCTTTGTGCTAGGGATTTGGGTTGTTATAGACATATACTGCTCAAATTCTTATCTAGGATGATTGTCTAATAATGTCTAGATTCTAGATATATATTTAGTTTTATTATTCACTTAGGGTGTATGTAGTTAATGCCTTTGTGTTGGTTGTGTTGGCTGAGAGATCATTAACACGAGTAGCACGATTGACTTCTGTGTTGTTGAGGTGGTTGAGAGACCGCTGCCGAGGTGATACAGTGGGTGTTGTGTTTGACATGTGATGACATTGACGAGTATTGTAGATTGATTATAACTAGTCGATAGGTTTAATTTTGTTATGAGTGGATTATATGCATGCTTGATAAGTTTTTCCTTGGAAGAATGTCTTTATTTTCCTGTTAATAGTTTTTACCTTTCTTTACACACAACCCATTCAACCCCCAAACATATTAACGAATGCTTTGTCAAACGGATAATCGATACCAATCTATATGGACACGATAGGATATAACCTATATCACTCGGTAAAATAATACTTTACTTTTTGCTTGCCACTTCACCGCATCAGCACATCCCAAAAAGAAAACTTAGATAAATACTAAAACAATGTACTTTTATTGAATAAGAAATAGCCATAACAATCCTCAAAATGGGAATACAATTTGAACAGAAAAAAAATACTGAATGGAAATACTGAATACGGGAAATCAGACAAATGTCAAATACTGAAAGAAATAACAAAAGGGGGAACTAAATCTCCTAACTACACTTGCAAATCTCTCTCTAAAACCATCAACCATTGTTGTACCCCAAAATTTTCCCTCTTCATTTTAACCCTAATTGGTTTTTACTTTATTATCATATGCATACATACATGTCATAGGGACTATGCTCATGGAATCAAGGGTTTTCTTTGTAAAAGGAACTATGAAAGACAGTTATTCCGTTAAGCAGCATCGTGAAGCAGAAATCGGGGTTTTCAGGTTTTTACTGCACTCTGCATGTATTCCAAACTATCCAATCAACAACCAAGTAAGTAATTATCATATCAAGATCTTATGTGTCACAACACGCTCTAAATTGTGTAGAAAGTCAAGTGTTTAAGTTGATTTGAGACAGTGTAGACAGAAATCCAGTACGGTGCATTTCAAGCTCAAAAATTCACAATTTGAGTTCAGAGAATGGTTTGGGATTGATTCTTCAGTTATTATAACTGTCTTTACATCTTCTTAATTTCATTTGTTCATGTTGAAGGCTAATTTTGTGAGAAAGATTTTCTAAAGCGCAAAATACTTGATACGCGATATACAGTGGATTTACCATTTCTCTGGTTTTTAGATGCCTAAAAGTTCGTAACTTCTTACTGGAAAATCATCTTTGCGTGGCTCTTGTATAATTTGAATCATCTTGTTATTTCCTTCAATTTTCATGTTCGGCTCGAAATCAAATTCTTTGAGGAAGATCTCCGAATGCGCGAGCACTTTGAAGCTATGCAGTGAAAATATTATGCTGAGCCATTATTTTTCAGACGTTCAAAAATTCATAATTTCTCCCGATTTGAGATTTTTGAGTGGTTCTTTAGGATAAAATTTCGTCTTGATTTTATCTTCAATTCATATGTTCGGGTTGATCGCTGATTCTTTGCAGAAGATCTCCGAAACTGCGAATTACCAAAGATTTTTATCGTGAAAAAAGATTGATAGACATTTATTTTCTTGATGTGGCGAAAATCATAACTCTCTCAGTTTATATCGTATCATGCTAGTTATCTAAGCGTTGGATCAAAAAATTTGTTAACTACAACTTTGCTTTAGACCCCGAGTTTGAACGGTGCTCCGAAGGCTTCCGTTTATGGTTTGTTTCGCAAATGGAACTTTGAAATACATTGCTGAACCGAAAGAGACAGCTTCAGAGTCGATTCTAAAATTTATAACTCGCTCAATTTTATCGTATCGCATCCATTTTTTCGGCATCGCGTCATAAATTTTGTCATCTTCGGTTTTGCTTCAGGGCTTGAGTCGATATTTTTCACCGAACAATAACTTTGTATTTTTACCTTGCGTTGTGCATAGAACGTGCTGACAGTGTCAAAACAAGGC